GACGTCAGAGCCCCGCCGCCAGACCTTTTATCGCCCGCCAGCGGGGGCGCGAGCGGGGCGGAGCCTGGCGCCCCCGGCTGCCCACCGGGGAGGGGCGGGGCGGCGCGTGCGCAGCTGGCGCTCCCTCACCCCCGGCCCGGGGGCGGCGCATGCGCGGGGGGGCGCTGCCCGGCGACGGGGAAGAAAATGGCGGCCCCCACCGGGGCAGGCGGAACGCCGGGTCTCCCCCACAGCGCGGGGACCGGTCGCTGCCGCGGGAGAGACGCGCACACACACACGCTCCCCCCCCCCAACCGGGTGCCTCTGACGGTACGGCCCCAGGGTTGTGGTGCCCCCCTCACGGCCCAGCGCCCCGGAGCGTGCTGGCCTGCGGGGAGCAGCGGGGCGTCTGGGGCGGAGGTGGCCCGTCGGGTGAGGAGGCGCCAGCTCTGCAAGGAACGCCTCAGCGCGGGCATCCCTTAGGACCCCGCACTCCTCGTCAACTGCTCTCCCGGCACAGCTTGCCGCCGGTGTGCCACCGGGCCCGTCCCGTGACACTACCGGGTGGTAACCGCCTCTCCCGGCGCTGCGCTTGGCCTTGGCCTCCTTTTCCACCTCTGCTGGGCCCCAGGAGCAGGCGGGAAGGCAACCCACGCACTGTGCCTCTGGCGGGAGCACCGGCCCCTCACTCCCCAGTTTCCACCTGCTGTGGTGCTGCTGCTGCTTTTGCTGGAGACATGCAAAAGGACAGCTCTCAATCAGAACAAGGCCCACGAGCCCCCAGGGGACCTGACCTCTCTGGGTTTTGTGAGTCTTATTGCTCTAAAACCAAATTGACCTTACTGCATCCTTTTAAAAGGCCAGCTGTTAAAGGCAGCTGCCTTTGTTGCACAAAGGTTTCAGGTCTGTGATGTTTCCTATTGCTAAAGGTTATGTAAACCTTCACAGTCAAATTGGTCAGTGTGACCTTGTCACTTAACTACGACGACACATTTTTTCTGATAAATCAGCATGTGAAGCGCTCAACAGCTTTGCAAAAAACACCTCACAGTGGTAATGCTCTCTGTAGAAACCATTATTTCTCAAAGTCTTGAACTATGCTGACTTACTTGGTCCTGGAGACACAACTTTTGAGTGACAGCAATCTAATAAACAAGCGGAGTTTGGTTCTGCCTAAGCAGAGGAGGAGAGAAATCTCAGAAGAGACCTTCAAAATGAAAACCAATGGGCTGTCATGGCTCCTGGAAGTGTTTTGCAGACCTTCTCCAAACCCTGCTTTCCTAGTCCTTTACTACTAAGGTAGCACATAAGGGTCTTCCTAACACTGTGGTCCATTACACTTGGTGCTGTGCTTACAGTTGCAGTCCTTGCCTCAGAGAGTTTAATGCCTAAAACACAGTAAAAAGACATCACAGCAATAGAGAGCTGCCGAAGGATACAATGGTCAAACTGATAATCATTTCTGGTTCATTTCTAGTTATGCAACTTGTAAAGATATGTGATGCTGTAAAACTGGCAATAACTTTATTACTGTAGATGTACATCAGCATAAGATTCAACCCCTTTGTACAGACGTGTTGGTACGAATACTAGAAAAAAGCATTGCCACTGGCCTTTTGCAGTTTAATACCCTCTACTTATTTGGGGAAAATGAGTGTGCCATTGCCTGTCCTTCTAACCTCATCCCAAGTCAAGAGGAGAACCTTTCTTGACACCAGAAAGAAGGCAGAGCACACTCTACATACAGAGGTATTCCAGAGATACACAGAAGATCAGGCAAAGGGAAATACCTTGAAGTAAAACAGACTGAAAGCTAAAATACTGTTAACTGAGAGACTTAAACTTCAGCAGCTCAATATGAAAACTGAAAAACGGGAAAAAAACCACAATACTAGAGAAGTTTCCCAGTTCATTGTAAACAGCCTTGTTTATGATCAAGTCTGGAACAGTTTATGCGAAGAAGGGTCTGAAATAGTGCATATACAGGCAGATGGATTTCTGCTCCATGCAACAGGATTTGCTGCTGCTGTAACATGAGAATAGAAGCCAAGAACTTGGAGGTCAGAAAGCTCAACCTTCATTCTGTCCTTTTATGTTTGCAGGAAGGAAGGAGACATTTTCTGAGCTGAGGATTTTGCTATCAACTGTCATCTCCTAGTTGCAAGGTCCCTATCTCCACCACGCTCCCAGCTGTGTGCCACTTTCCTCCAAGCCAAGCTATGCAAGGAGTTAGCACTGGAACTGCTTAAGCTAGCTGTGGATTTGGCCTGAAAGCACAAACCGCTGGCAGGCTGTGGTGGGAAGGGACCGCCACAGCAGGAAAACATGTCTAACCCATGAGTGCAGGTTGGGCCAGTAGTCCCCTCAGCCAGCACAGTTTTGCGATACAGACAGCATCTTCTCCTGGGTTTGGCCACGCTGGTTTGAAAAACTGCTGTCCCAAGCTTGTCCCAAACCCACTTTGGGCCAGTCAACACAACCAGTGTCATCAGCCCCAAGGCAGGGTCTGCTCAGCCACTGTGCTGGGAGAGCTGTCCCCTCCCACAGCTGGAAGGGAAACACATTGACCACAGTGTCTCCTGGCCTTCAGACAGCATGGCACGGCAGGGGACAGGACAGTTCCTGACCCATGCAGGCAGAGCCACCCACTGGACACTAGAAAAAGCCAGGTCACCCTCAGGTTCTTTATGCCTTTTTGCATAAAATGCTTCTCTGCCCCTGTCAGCTAACCCGTGCAATGCCGTTGGATTTGTTTAAGGTGACCTGCATGATGACAAATCCATAAGCCAACCACCCACCTGAAGCATGCTGAACACCACTCCTGGGCTGGGGAACAGAGCAGTCTCCCATCCTGACGGGCTCAGTGTCCTGGGGCGAGCCGGAGAAGTCTCTGCTGGCAGCGCTGCGCTTACCCACGTCTTTCCTCATCTGCTTCAGGCTGTAGAGTCCAAACTTCAGTCTTCCCTCCAGGCTGTGCAGCGCTGCAGGCAGCTGGGAGCTGAGGACAGGCAGCGTGAGATAAAGGTAGTTCTGGCAACCCCCACCGTCCGCAGCAGCAAGGCACTTCAGACCCCTTGGCTGCAGTCCCTAGGGCCAGCCAGGGCTTCCCAAGGCTTCCAAGCAGTCTGGGGGAGCGAGGAGGGGTCAGCCCGGCGGTGGGGAAGCAGCACTAGCACTGGGAGCAGCCAGGGCAGGCAGCAGGCAGCCGCCCTCCCACCAGACACCACCAAGGGACCTGCATCTCTTGGGCAAGCCTGAGATTTCCTAACAGTCTCCCACTAGGAAATTTGCCTGGATCTCAGGCTTGCTCCTAAAAGCAAACACGTGCCCTCCCAGAGTTCAGAAAAGCCCTGCAAGGCACCTCGTCTCGCTTTTCTCTGAGAAGTGCGTGGGCTGTGGCACCACGGCCCTGCTACTCGTGGGCTTCATCTTCTCACCTCTTCCAGCTGGAGCCCTGCTCCCCTCGGCACAGTGCCTTGGAGGCTGTGCTGCCCACCAAGCCCCTGCCCTCCCTGCCACTGGATCCTCCCATTGACTCCGTCTTCCCGTCACCAGCCCCTGCACCCTGCCCACGTGCAGAAACACGCTGCTTGGGCCTGGCCAGGCTGGCTGGCATTTGCCTCCCCTCCTCTGTGAGGATCTCAGCCCCATAAACATGCAAGCTTAGTTTCCTGTGCATTTTTTTTTTTTTACATTTCAGCATTCCCCAAGACCATCTCAGATTCAGGGGTGCCTTCATCTGTCACACAGGTGATTTAAAAGTTGCTATGTGTCATTGCTGTGCACCCAGCACAGCCCTGAGCTCGTAGTTACCTGTGTGTGGTTGTATGACCTGGGACTTGCCCCAGCAAAGCCAAGGTGGGACTCGGCATAGATCCAAGCCTGGTTCTCCTGCAGAGTGCTCCAAGGAAGCAGAGAGGCTGCTGGCACCAGAAAGCAAGTTGGGAAGGAAATTTACTAAATCGCCTGAACCTGTAGCTGTCCCACATACCGAGAGGAGATGCCTTTTTAGCTGGCAGCAGCAGACATGCTTAGGAGGTAGAGAGCAGCCCCTTGCTCGCTGCTCATTTACAGCACGCCAAGTGGGAGACACATCTCCCCTGGTGATGACTCAAGAGCTGCTCCTCTGGAGACGAAGGATGAAATAATGTTGAATTTCAGAGCAGCTCAGAGCATGTTGCTAGGCGCCAGCTGCAGGAATTGCCTGCAGGTGCTTTCACAGGAGGGGTTGGGCCAGTTTACTGGGCTCTCCCAGTGCAGCCCAGTGCCAAATACCTTTGGAATGGGCATAATCTGTTCTCAGCCTGAAGGAGCTGTTGCACAATCTCCCCAGGATTAAGGGTTTACATCCCCACAACCAGGGATGGGCAGTGGGCAGACTCTGGAGCCACACTGGCCTGTGCCATCCATTTTAGGGCTCTCTCTGGGGTGTTCTCTTCACAGAGAGTCTCTCTTCACAGCCTGCCTGTGAAGGTGGCAGTCTACCAGGTGTGAATGAGAGCAGCTCCTCCGTCTCCCCTTATCAGGGTGATTAAAGTCTTCAAAGGATTAAGTGGCTAAGAGGTTTTCTTCTGCTCCTGGCAATGAAGCTCTGTAGCCAGCTGAAGCTTTCATGTGTAAGCGTTTGCTCAAACAGACCCTATCATTTGAGCCTGTATAAACACAGTGCGATTTCCATCTTGCTGTGATGCAAAAGCTCAACAAGATGAGGCTGCTTTTAAAGCCTGGGTTAGATACCGGCTCCTGTGGAGGCCACACTGTGGCTTAGAGTGCTGATACACCTACAAGCCCCAGGGCTGCCCCACTGCAGAGATGGCTCTGTCCCCAGCCAGTGTGCTGCCTCCAGCCTCACCCGGGGGACGTGTCTGCCTGCCTACTGCCTGCTCTGGGGGGTGTTTGATCTGCCTCCCTAAACATGAGACCAGTTCTGCTACTGGGGAGCACGCGCATACATGTGAAATGTGTTTCCACACAGGTTTTAAGCTGCTTTTTCTCACCTGACCTGGGCATCTCAAAGCACCCCTGGGGTTCGGGTCCCCTTGGTGGCATTTCCCAATGGCTTCTTAGGCTGTCAAGGCCACCACATGGAAAGCAGTTTTCCACATCCCCAGACTCTAGCCCCCAAAGCTCTTGTCCTAGAAAAAGAAGAATTGCTTCAGCTGTCACTGTGACGCCCATCAAATGTCTTGCAGAGATAATCGCAGCAGCCACTGAGCCTGTAGCCTCCCAAGGCACGAGGCTGTGTCTGCTTTGCTGGCAGCACTTGGCTGAAGGCAGGAGCAGTCCCCAGCAGTGCCTCTGCCACCGGGGACACCGCACAGTCCCCAGCAGTGCCTCTGCCACCGGGGACACCGCGCTTCAGGCTTTAGTCCATACAGGCTTTTTCTGCATGGTGCAGCATGCAAAGGTCAGGTTACCAGAGACAATTTGGGGTGAGAGAAAGTACTCCACCATCACAGAGGCATCCGTGTCATTTCAGTCTCACTTGGAAAAATGCTGTGTAGACATTTTATTCTTTAATTTAATAAAATAAGATTGCTTAGCGTGCTCGGGTGTTTGCTAGGAAACACTACTATCAGCACTGGCTGTAGCTTTTAGAAGAGGATATTTGTCCTTGCAGCTTAAATGATGTTTCATGTCACAAAGTCAGTTCCTCCTCTCCAGGCTGTTACTGGTTAGAGTGAAGCGGTGTGGGTTTACACCTGGGGAGGGTGTCGCATTGGGCCCTGTGCAGGCAGACCTGGCTGCTGGTTGCATGTGGGGTTGAGTTTGATTGCCCTGGCATACAAAGGGTGCTGATTACACAGGGGAGTTTATTTACATCCTTTGCAGCTCTCTCTAGCTCTGCTGGGCGAGATTTACAGGTTCTCACTAGGAAGAAGGTGGTTTATTCCCAGGGTTTCACATGGTTTCTTTCCGTGCAAGTCCAGACGAGCTGCATAGAGGTGAGTTGTGCTTAAAAGAGATTCTGCTGTGAATCCCACAGCACCTGAGAAGATGAGTTGCAGCTTCCATTGTCCTTTCCTGGAGGGCAAACCTCCTCTAACACAGGGTCCCCTGCACCCTTGGATGAGGCTGCGTCAGCCCATTGCTCCATCAGGGCAGGCTTGGATGCAGTTTAGCCACATGGTCACAGCGCACCCTGCCCAGCTCAGAAGTTCTGGACTAGCATGGGCTGCCTCGCCAAGGACTCAGGTACCTCGGAGACATGGTAGCTGTCAGCAGGAGCTGGCATGAGACCCAGTGACAGCAGCACCTACAGGAAAACCCAGGTCAGATGGTGACCTGAGCTTCTCCCACCAGCACTGTGGGCTTACGAGAGGGCGCCTGGGGCAGCAGCACCCTCCCGGGCTGGGATGGCTGCTGTGCTCTGAACCAGGCCTGGATCTGGGGCACGATCCTTAACACACTGATGAAACTGTCCGGATCCAACCTCTTGGCATTGAATCAAAGCCTGGAGCTGAGTCTAGACATGAAGGACTGGACCAGTTCTGCTGTCTGCATTTCCAGGTTCCTCTGGGCCAAGCTAAGGACACGAAGCAGAATGTGCCTTTTAAGCTGGCTGGACTAATGCGTGAATTTAATTAGATTTAATCTACTCTAGTCTCAATAAAATCTAGAACATGCTGTAGAAAAATGGCATTTAATCTTTCTCCAAGCCTTTTTGTACGCATCTGAGCGGGCGGCCCTCGGCATAGCCATGGGCAATTGCAATGAAACAGGAAGCCAAGTTTTAGCAGCACCCAGAGGATGGGACTGAGATCAGCATCCTGTTGTCTTTGGATTTATGCCAGTGTAAATCAGAGGTTCTCCTGCCCCCAAACCTCTTGTATGACAGAGCATGGGGAAGGCAGAGGAATGCACGGAAGGCATGGTCAGGGGGGCTGGTACCTACCAGCCCCAGCCCTGCTTCCAGGCTTGCTCCAGGGGAAGCAGGGCTTGTGTCAATGGGGTCCCCTTGTTCACCTCAGTGCCTGCAGAGGAACTGCAGAGGGCTGTGCTGCTCCGCTGGCTCCAGGAGAGTTTCAGCAACTGCAGGTCTCCTCTTGAGCTGAGAAACCCACTGCTGTGGGCCAGGAGAGTGCATCGACGTGGAGGCGGTGGCTCCAGTGCCACCGAAGCAGAGTGCACATGGCTTTTGGGAAGAGCACAGTGCCAGGTTGCCACTGGGGACTGCTCATGGAGAGCGTGGCTGGGTCCTCCAGGAAAACTGTAGAATGGACACAGGTGCTGTGCTGCAGACTCGCTCCGGGTCAGCTTGCTCTGTGTACCCTGTCAGGCACAATAAGCACAGTATTGCACTGGCTCTGGTTGCACTTAGGTAGTTTGAGAAAAGAAGGCTCCAGTGGTTCATCACAAAGGAAAACATAAAATTATTTTGAAATATTCATCAGGGGGATATCACTCATTTTGTGCAGGTCAAGTAACATTAACTTGCAAGAAAGAGGGAAATAGCGAGAGGAGGAGAGGGAGAAGGCATTTTATTCCTTTCCTGAGTCAGCCTGCCCTGGATACAGCCAGCCTGGCTGCAGCAGAGGGCTGGAGGGTTAGCTGCCCAAACCAAAGGCAAATTCATTTGAGATCCAGGGATTAAGATACAATCATTTGATCTCAGATTAAACAGTGGATGAGCACCACAAAGGATAGCTTAAAACATTTGGAAAGGTGTTACGGAAAATCAGGCAGGATTAAATAACAAAATAGCTGCATTAAGCTAGAATCCCTCCCCGGATCAGAGGAAGCCGGGCAGGGAAGAGCCTGGCGGCAGGCACAGGCGAGCACGCCGGGTGTCACAGCTCCGCAGCGCCGGGGGTCGAGCCTCTGACTGTGTGGGGAGCACAGGGCAGCTCACCGCCCGGCAGGGGTGACCTGGCAGAGCCCACCCCAGCCCCACCAGCCTCATTCAGGGCTCTCTGGGGATGATGCAGTTGTCCCAGAGAAGC